TCAGCACTGCTCCCGTGTGCTTTAAATCAACTGTCTCTTCAACTGCAATATTTCCCCAGTGGGACACCTCAATGACTCGGGTCATACTGGTGATGGTCAGGAATGGACTGTTGTTTTCATAGTGCACCTTCAGAGTGTCCTAGCAGGAAGAGAAAGCAAGTGACTAACCCAAAGTGAGGAGCAACCTCCCCTCCCAATTACGGGTCTCTATGTCCCCAAGAGAAACTTCCTCAACAAACTCTACACAGGTAGAAGGTATTTCTCCTGCTTGAGCCACCCCAGCCCAACCTACATACCAGGTGCCATGGTCACAATTTCTCTATGCAGGCATTTACCTGGCTATATGGAGGGATGTCCTTGAAGGGACCATACTCAATCATGTCTTCTGTGCGGGAAGGGTTCCCCAGCTTGGTGTAACTCTCCACATTCCTTGAGGCCAGTTTGACACGAGTTGTTTGGGTCTTGGTGGAGTATGGCGAGTAGAAATAGTGATTTCCTTCAAAGACCACAAATTGCTTCTCGCTCTGGGTAATGTGAGTGGGGTAGGGCTGCAGGACATGCGTGAAAACCATTTCAACAGAGACACGGACCTTGGCCCCAGGTGCCAAAGGAGATGGCAGCTTCACAGTGAAAAACTTCCCACTGCAAAGAAGAAGAGGCAGTGAGATCTCCCCAAAACAACAAACAGATCCAACCCTCTGCGAGATCCCCTGTGCACGGAAACACCTAAGATTCTGTATTGGATATATGGTGTGCGACTGGGGACAATGTTACATTTGCTCCTCAGAGGCCTCATTCAAGAGGGTGAGCTTATTCTGTACCAAGAGGGCAGGACGAGGCAAAACACAGGGTGAACTGTGTTCGGGCACAATTATAGCCTCTTTCCCAGATATCTGGGTATCGTTTTGGTACTGGAATGGTGTTACGCTCCTGTCTCGAGTTCTGCATTTATAATGCATGCTTCAGTGGCATTTTCTCATTCTCCAGATGACAAGAACGATATGAATCAGAAACAGCATGTGAAAATGTGCTTGAGATGTCTATAATTTGTCTTCTGAACATGTTCCACCAAATCTTTATTTTCAGCTTTTGCCCACAGGAGCTGAAACCAAGGTACTGTTAGAAAATGATCACAGTCTTGGAACGGGGTGCTACACAACGCATTGAGGCTTCACCAAACTGCTAAGTATGTACCAGGCGGACTGAGGTGATGTGAGCAGCATGTGGATTTCATGCCACGGCTGGTGTCCCACATGCAGAACAACATGAGGCTTCCTGCTATCAGGAACCCTGATCCACCTGACCAGTGTAACTGCACAGCTACCATTCCCTTACCATTCATCAGCACTGCACTGCTGACCCACTTTTTAAAAGGTCCTTTATTTCTCAGCACAGCTTAGAAATAATGTGCTGGTCCTGTCTTACAACCCATGCACAGCATCCCGAAGTTGGCAGAGCAGAGCCCTGGGCACAAGACGGTGTTCTCTGTCCCTGCAGCAGGGATTGCAGTACCCCACACACTGTATTACTTTTCACATCTCAGACTAAGAACAGTGCTTGGGGACACGACCAAAGAGCATTTCTAATTTGTCGTAATTGCTGCCAGTCATCTGAGACCCCAAAAGGCATTACTGCAGCTATAATTCTTCCCACCTGCTGCTCTTTAATGAAGGAACGGGATGTTACTTAGGGGCGTGGTTGAGCAGGCATGGTGGTGATGGGCTGACAGTTTGAATGGATGATCTTAGAAGTCTTTTCCAATGTTAATGATTCTGTGATTCTTACGGGGCCCGCGGGGAGCAGGACCTGGGCCTGGCTGCTCGTGTTCCTTAGCCCTGCAGTCAGCACGGAGCACATCTCAGCAACGAGCACAGGGCTCTCCTTGCGCACGGAGCTGTGGAGCACTTCCATCTCACCCCGCGGACAGCGCCGCAGCCCAGATGTGTAACTGCAGGTACAGTCCTCTGAGGGTGACACTCACCTTTTTCCCTTCACTTTCGTCTCTTTCACTTCCAAGATGTTCTCCTCCTCTTCCTCGCCCTTCACCTGTTTCAGAGCACACCGATCAACGCGCTGCCCTTTCAATCACCGAAGGCAGCCGGGTCGGACCCCAGACGTGGCTTTTAAAGGGCCGTTCCCGCAGAAGCTGACAAGAAGCACCCGCCGCCCTCCCGTTGCCCGGACTCAGCACCTCGGCCCGCTTTGTTCCTCCCGATCGCGGCAGGTCCTCCCGCTGCCGACGTGTCCCGGCGGTGCGGCCCGGGGCGCGGCGCTGTGCCGACGTGGCCCTGCAGCCCCGGGCCGTGCTGCGGCTGTCCCGGCTCGCGGAGCTCCCCGCCGCTTCCCGCACTCACCTGCACGCCCAGGTAGGCCAGGCGCGGCTCCAGGCCCGGCTCCAGCGCCAGCAGGAAGGAGGAGGCGGCGGGGCCGCCCGGTGCGTTGGCCAGGCTGAGCTCGGCCGACACCTTGGCCAGGTGCGTGCTCAGGTCCACGGTGCGCCGCGCCTCCTCCAGCTGCAGGTCGGCGGCGGCGGCGGCCCATACGGCCGCCAGGCAGAGGAGCAGGCGGCAACGCAGCCCCGCCATGGCCGACGCGTGCACGGGGAGGGCACAAGATGGCGGCGCCCGCGCTGTACGGGGAGGGCACAAGATGGCGGCGCCCAACGGCATAGGAGACGCGCGATGGCGGCGCCCGGCAGCGCGTGAGGCCCCCGGCGGGGAAGGTGGCCGTGCGAGTGCCTGAGTAAAAAAACGGGGCCGGAGGCGTGGTGCTTTGTGCTGTCCGTGTTGCAGAGAAAAGCGGAGGGCGATGTTGTCTGCCGTGACCGCTGTGGGTGCGAGCCCCGCGGGACAACGGGCCGTGAGTGTTTTCATAATGTGCTTCAGGCCTGGCCTTGGTTTAATATGTTGACGCGAGCTGCATAGATAATGCTCTGAATTGGGCTGAGGTTGCCAAGGGTCGGATCGGAAGCGGATTTCCTACATGAGTTTGGAGCTGGAGTCACACGGCCCCTTGGCAGCGGTGAAACGAAGTGGGACATTTCGTGGTGTGTTACGTTCTGAACAGCATCACCTCTGAAGCAGCCTGCTGGCTCTGATCCAGGCGTTGCACAGCACTGCTGCATTTTAGAGCTCCCTCTGAGTGTCCGTGTGGGTTTTGTGTGGAAGTGTCCTCTCCAGGAGCAGCTGTCCCTGCCCTTCCTCCAACCCCAGCCTCTGTGCCACAGGGAGTAAATGAACTCCAGACTGCCTTTATTTCCCCTCTCTCCCTCAGGGAGATTTCTCCTGGCAAATGGAGGGAAAGAAATAATACACATTCCATTGTGTCTGAAGATAATTGGGTTTCAGTTGTTATATCCAGGGCCAAAAGTTGGATTTGGCCCAGATGCTGACTCTGAGCTAGCTGGCAAACACGGCATTTCTAAACCTGACCCATCCCAGACCCCAGAGAGCTCTGAGTCAGGCTGTGATACGCTCACCCCATGCTCAGATCCATTCTAACTGTGATAATTGAGTCATGCTGAGTCTGTGTAGCATCTGCTCCCAGCTCTACCACATTGTCTAAATTTATCCTTAGGCTCAAAAGCCACTGCTTTTAGGATTCTTGCTTGCAGAACAGGTTTTGCTTGCAGGCCCCTCTCACTGCTGTCCTGCACCCAGCGTGGATGTGGTGTAACATGGTGCCAGGCTACAGCTACTTGTGCTGAGTTAAGGCTCTCAGAAGGCACAAGAGAAACTCTGGCTAGGTTTGCTGGTTACATCTGCTCAAGCAGGAAGGGAGAGGCTGGGTTTAAACATGAGAAGTGCTGCGGGACCCTGGCCAGATGCTGCACACTAATTGTTCCAGGCTGCAGGGCCAGCATCCCTTGTCTTAGCCGGTCCCCATGCCCCAGCTAGGTAGCTCAGCTCCTCTGCCATCTGCAAAGGATGTGGTGCAGGGAAAGTGTGTCACCCTCAGGGACACTGAGCACTGGGAGGGGATGGAGCTGGTGCCAGCCCAGCATCTGCTGGGCCTGAGGGGCAAGAGCAGTGTGCCAGAGGGATGCAGAAGCATTCCTCTCTCTCCATTAGCCCCAGACCATTGAGGTTTTGCAGTCCCAGCCCTGAGGCTATAGGTAAGACTGACAGCTGAGTTTGCTTAGCCTTGCTAAGGCCCTTGAGAAACAGATGGGGAAAAAAGAAAAAAAAAAAATAAATCCAATTTTGTTATTTTTACAACCTCATTTTTCAGCTAATCAGCACAACTCACGCACAGCTTTTGCCAAGGAAAACGTGCTGTGATTTCTGGTTCGGGCTCAGGAGAGGTGGGTCTGGAGGGGGCTCTTTGGGGCTCACTGCTGCCCTGTGTTCATAAGCCCTGAAAATGTGTCCTGCTTCCACAGAGACAATGCTAAAGGGTGCTTTATCTGTACAAAAAGTAGAAATTTTTTGCTTAGATGTTTAATGCTTACTAGAAATGTAACTGAAATGGCTACAGATGAGCACTGGTGGTCTGCTTGTAGAAGAAATCTACACAAGCAGGTGAAATGCTTGAGCATAGAAGGGGATGTTGCCCATTTGAAGAGATGGCTTCAGTTCGGCTGGGTTTGGGTTTTGTTGCAGGATCAGACCATACTTTGGAGACAGGAACTGAGCAAGTTTGATTATATGAGAAAATCAGGGTGTGATCACAGCTGCCACTAACGCACCTCCGAGTGCTGGCAGGGCCTGATAACACACAACATTCAAACCGCTCTTAACGTGTGATCCGGCCCTTTGCATCACACCCCTGCTTGAAAATGCCTTTGGCAGATTGGATCCTGCAAAGCCAGAGAAGGCATAAGGGGAACAGAGTGCAAATCTTGGCTTGAAATGTTAAATTCTACCTTTCCGCAGCGCCAGCAGCGCAGGGAGGCTGCTATCCTGCCAAGCTCTACGGCTCACGTCCCCCAGCCTTCCCTGCCGTGCCGCTCCGCGCCCATGCCCCTCACTCTGCCCCAGCTTAGCACCGCTCGCCCCCGCCAGCCCATTGTGTCCGCATCCCGCCGCCAGGGGGCGTCCAAGCGTCCCTCAAGCCGAGGAGCGCGGCGGGGGCGGTGCGGTAGCGCAGCCCCGCCCCTTGGTGAATAGCGCGCGCTACGCCGCTGGCGCACGGAGCTGCGCGCATCAGTCCGGCTGTGTGGTTCGGTCTGACCCCCGTCGTCAGTGGCACTGCGTTTTCCTTTCTGATCCTTTAAGGCCCTGCAAACGTGGGTGCTAGGAGTCACCTCATATCTAGTGCAGTCCCAGGGCCGTGATCCTGTGTTTGGTGTCAGCAGGGCGTGCTGAGGCATAGTCCCATGTTGCTTGCTCTGTTGGTGCAATAATTGAGCTCCTATCTTTGCACGGAACTTCTCAGCTTTTCTCAAGAAAGGAGAGCACTTGATGTGTATTTATCTTGGAAGCTCTTTTTTTATTTTTTTTGTGGAGTGTGTTTTCTGTTTGCCAGAAATTCAAGCAGGGACATGAAACCAGTTCTGAGCACTGGAGTAACTATTGAAGCTTTAACATCCAGCCACAACCATTTCAGTTTTAGATGATAGTGTTTTGCTGGACATACCTTCAATTTGGTGGCTCAAGGATTTGCAAACAATGAGTCATAACTCCCTGGGATCGAAATTGCAGCTGCTGGGGCACCAAGCATTGAAAAGTGTGGTCCAAGATAGAGCAAAGTAAACCTCACTGCCCACACACCCTTATCCTTCAAGGCTGAGTATCTTTGCAACACTCTTCAAAAACATGCACACAAAATTATACGGTTGCTATTGATACAGAACTTACTTCTCCTTTTAGAGCAGATAAGAGGGGATTGCGAAAATCTGTGATTTGAAAGAACTGAAGCAGATGGACCTGAGGCCAGTATGCAGCACCCTGTGCTTGCAGGGAGGGGGCTGGATTGTGAGAAAGGTGTTGTGCTATGGTATGTGGCCAAGCCCTTCTGCCCAAAGAGCCCCCAGGGCCTCTGCAGACCACGTCTGGCCCTTCACATCCAGGACGGACCTGCAGAAAGCGTATGGAGGTGGTTTGGTTCCAACTCAAGGAGAGCTTCCCCTCTTCGAAATGCCTATGGGACACTTTTTTGGCATGGACTGACTGCTAAAGAAGCTGCCTGCAAGTCACCTGTACCATAAAATATCCCACTTGCAGCGCTCACATGGCATCAGGGTTCTGTTGTGTGACACGTTCTGGGTACAACAACAGCATGACACAGCCACCTTTGCCACAAAACCGCCTGGCTGCGGGGCTCACGCGGCTGGTCAGTGCAAGGGAGAGTGGCAGGATACAACCTATGGTCCTGCAGGCTGTTACAGGCCTGTCTGGCCTGGCCCTGTGGCTGCAAATCCACTTATGTCATGAGCTGGGAGATCTCAGACACACCAGACCTTCGCTCTCATGGCTTCAGAACCTGGTAAGAACAGAACAAGCTGCTGTAACAAAAGCTTGATTCCTGAAAGGTCTGTGCCATTCCGTGCTGGCTGTGTGCACTGCTCTCTATTTTTATAGAATTTCTAGGGTTTAAAACATTATTTACAAACGTCCCTATTTAGAGGGACCTAGATCTGACAAGGTTACTGACTCACTTCAGCCTCAGGGAAGTTACTTCACCCCTGGATCATCTTTTCCATTTGAGTACTGAGACCAATCATGTAAAATTACCCGGCAGACTGCCAGTGCAGCTGTAAAAATTAATTACCCAGTATTTAGCACTGCGTAAGAAGTGGGAAGCTGCTGCTGTTGGAGAATCTCTGTACCAGGGAGGCCAACTCAGAGACCCACAGGTTCTCAAGTGACCGTCACTATTTGTGGGACGGCCTCTTGACATGAATGGAATGTAGGCACCTTTCTGCTCCCTAGCCTGAAGTCTGAACTACAAAAACTTGCCTTTGTCCTGTGACACTTGAGTTTTCTGTTGGTTTTGGCTCCCACCAGTCCAGGCTCCAGGTCGCTGTGGTGGTGACAAAGCTGTGTGGTGGCTGTTTTACTTTGGCACTTTACATTTTACAGAGGCAAATGCTTCTCTCCGCTTGCCATGCCACAGCCAGCATAGGCACTCAGATCTAAGAGAATGTCCCTGTGAGTCTCAGGCCTCAACAGATGCATTTAGACCCTTTATCAATGCTTTGTTTTTATGATGTTCAGCCTCCAGCAGCTGCATTTCATCAGTGAGCAGAGATGCCAGTAATCCCTTGTGCTGTACCTAGCATTCCCTGCACCTCGAGAAGCATGGATTAGAGAGATCTGGCATAAGATAACATGATTGCAGTCGCTTCCTGTGGTTGGTATCTGGTGATCTAGTCTTGTCAAGAGCTGGAATTTTACTTTCATGTGTTGCTGCTGTAAGATTTAGAAATCAGCTAAGGACTGCAAAGGAGAAAGCATCAGTAGATTACCAGAGCAGTATTTGTACTGCAGGCAGGGATTAGAGAAGAGGGCAGGCGAAAGACTACAGCTGTGCTTTTGCCAGTGGAAATGCTTATGTGGTCATGTAAGAGCAGATTTCTAGTGAACAAAATGCCAGAAGAAGCAGGGTGAATCTGGTTTGGCTTGGAGTACAAAAAGGAGATATTGTGTGTTTGCTGCAGCTTAGTTCCTTTTTTAAATTTTATTTTAGCAAGTCCTAGCATTATAATGATAATTTGAGGAAGCTGGCCTGGAAAGCAAAAGATGGCAATAGAAAAACATTGCAAAGCTCCTGAGAGGAAGCTTCACACATGGATGACAGGACGGTCAGCTGGAGCTTTATTTTTCCAGACTTTGGGTAACAAAGGCAACAAAGGATCCCAGGGCTGTGACCAGCAATGAGGAGGAGGGACTGCAGGACTCAGGTGAGCCAAAATATGCTGGGTAAGTACTAGAAGAATGAGCAGGCTGCCCCCAAGCTTTAACATCACAGATGGTCCAAGGTGAGGTGGCCGTATGTCCATGGGAAGTGTGTGAGTGCATTAGAAACTATGAGAAACATCAGCTAAGCCGAGGTGCAGGTTACCCCCCTGGATCTCTCTGCAGGCCCCTCTGAAATCAGCACATAATGAGTGCTTTTGTATTCAGGCTATTTCTCTCACTGCCATTTCATGGACTGGCAAGAGGAAGGGGAGGATCCCTTTCAGTCCAAGGACACGCAAAGAGATGGTGTTTTATTATCCCTAATTGGATGGGACAGAGATTAGATGTCACAAAGGGAACAAATCAAAGCTGGAGACGTTTCTTACTTCCTGGTTCATGGGATAAGTGCCTGAAATATGTTGAGGTTTCTGCAGTGGTAAATGTTTGTTTACTATAATATGATGGATCTGCTAATCTCTGTGAAAGTTCCTCAAAGGCAGCAAACTTCTTTCTTGTAAGCAATGTTAGTGATTGGGAACAATTGGCTTTGTGCTTTAAACCAATCAATTTTTATAAGGTTCCATTGAGTTTTTATATTATCAATTGAGTGGTCAGATGTGAAACACTATTTTCTTCACAGGCTACAGCATTTAGTTGTGCTGTTCACTGCATAATGCTCTGGTGTCTCCTGAGCCCCATGTTTATTCTGGTGGGGAAGTGTGTGTGCTGTCTGTACAGCCAGGTAAAACGCAGAAGCCACCACTCAGCACTTCCATTTACCTCTTTCTTACCACTGTCTCTTTGCTTTCAACCACAGCCAACCTAACTGTCATCTGTGCCAAATTACAAGCACCCGGGCTACATCACAAGGTGCTCCCTGCAGACATTCATTCTCCTGAATGACAGCATTCACGTGTTCTTCAAGGCAGCAGGACTTTGCCTCGTCAGCCTGAGCAAATGCAGCATTTCCACAGTGGACCAGAAACTCATCACGGATGGCTATTGCATGACACAGCTGCTGATTGTGCCAAGAAAGCCAGTAACACAGGAACTCAGTGCAAGGCTATCCTCTGTGTAACAAAAGCACTTAATAGATGGCGCCAGGATCGCTCTGCCATAGAGAGGGAAGGAGGAAATCTCACCCACGGGCCTTGACTGCTTTTTGTAGTGTGTAAAAACAAAAAAAAAATGCAAGTTTTAGGCATGAGAGCAGGGGAACGCTCTGTAGCACAGCTCTCACGCCTGCTGCTAACAGCCCAGCGTGTGCCTTCCCTTAAAGGAAACTGGCAGGGCCAGGAGTGCTGCGCCCCACCAGCTGCTGCTGTGCCCAAAGCTGCCGTCCTGGGGCTCAGCTGTGAACCGCAGACCTGCACAATCATCAGATCGTTTCAACTGGAACAGATACTCCAGATTATCACATCCAACCATCACTAAGCAGTGCCCTTGGTGTCATGTCCACGCACCTCTTAAATACCTGCACTGCCTCCCCGGGCAGCCCATTCCAACGTTTAACACTGCTAACGAATACATTCGAGTCGCCTTACTGCAGCGCGCGGTCTCCTCTCGCACGCCGGCCTCGCCCCCGCCCCACTAACATAAGATGGCGGCGGGTAGCCCGCGATCACGTGACGCGCGCACGGCCCTTCCCTCCCCCTCCCGCCAGCTCCCGGCGCCGTGATGACGTCAGCGACACCGGGCGGGCCCCGTGACCGGAAGTTGTCGGGGGGGAGGCGGAAGTGAAAGCGGGGAGGTGGTTGGGCCCGATAAAGCCGACCGAGACGAGCGGGGGAGGGACAGCGAGGTTCGGGCGGGCGCTGCGGCACACGCACCACGGTGAGCGGCGGGGGGGGCGCGCGCGCGGCGCGGCGCCTGTGCTCGGGGCTGGGTTGGGGGTGCCGGCTCCGGCCCAGCTGCCGCTGCTGGGCGGGGGGTACCGCTCGGGCCCCTCCCTGCGGCCGGAGGCGCTTCTGGGGCTGGCTGGGTTAGGGGGGCGCCGCCTTTGTGCTTCACCTGAGCTCGGCCCGGTGCCGGAGTGGCAGCGGCCCGCCCTGAGGGTGATCCGGGGCGGTGGAGCCGAGCTGCCGCCTCCCCGGGGCTGGGCCCGGTGCTTCTCCCGAAACAATGGAGCCGAGGGCTCTCTGGGAAAGGGCTTCTCCGCCCGGCGCCTCGGGCACGGCGGCACGAAGGCCTTCCTTGGGCTGTGCGTTTTCTCCAGGCCTGTGTGTGTGTCCTCGCTGTGAGGTGCCCGCGGTGGTCCCTCGCGAAGCAGAGTGCGTTGTGTGTGGCGTGCTGCGCTGCTCCTTGCCGGTAGGGTAGGGCTGGGGGCCGGGGCTGCCCATAATGCTGGGGGGTGGGTGGTGGCTGTGCTTGAAGTGGTGGGGGGAAGGGATGGGGGCGCCTGGGTGCTGCTTTGAGACAAGCAGGCTGCCTAGGGAGCGATTTATGCTGCCAAACAGGAGGCTGGGAGAGCTGGCAGTTATTGCGAAAGGAGCTCTCGGCATGTGCAAAGCCTGACTCAGTTCTGAGCAGTATGAGAGTGGATGTTGGAAGTGCTTTTTGTTCTGAGCGTAATAAAGTAAATGAAATGATGGATGCATTATTAATGCCCAGGTATATTGAGGCTAATAAAGATAGAAATACTTAATGATTGTATTTAAAAAGAAGTGTGCTTTGCTTCTTGTAAATAGTGGAATTCTTGCAGTAGTAAGGCAGTTATTAATAGAATAGGCTGCTGTAATCTGAAGGGAGAGAGGTAACTGCATCAGAATGAGTAAGTCTTCCCAATAGCTCTGAGTTCTTTAAGTTAAAAGCTGGAATTCTCAACACTGTTTTCTTGCAAGCTAAGAATACTTGCTGATAAGCAGAGTTGTTGGGATGTGTATTGGTTTTTTTTTATGAGTAAACTGAGAACACATGATAGAACGAAGTCCTCCCAACTGTAAGCAAGCTGTTCTTTGTTTTATAACTACGAATTGGAAATGTTAAAGCTTCCAGCACCTGGCTGGCCAGCTCTGACCTGTGCTTAGCACTGTGCCTTTTGGTGTGGGTTAGTGCTGGGGAAGTGGGGAGTTCCTTTTGGGAGCAGTACACAACCAGCAGTATGCAGTGCTTGGCTGTGATTTCGAGGCTCCCTTGTGGCTGTTCTGTGTGTGATCAGTGGTGGTACTAGTGATGTGTGATAGAGGCTGCAGCCTTGCTGTGCCTCCAGCTGGGCTGGGCTGGCAAAGTGAATGTACTCTGCACTTAAAAGATAGATTTGAGGTTGTCTTGGGTGGAGTTGTTTGAATATTCCTTGTTTAATAATCAGAACTCCGTTGCTGTGCTTCTTCAGGAAGAACAAGTATACTTGTCTCTTTTTCCCCCCCTCCTTGTGACTTCCAACAGCTGACTGAACACGACTTGCTCTCCATGAACTAATGAGCAGGCTCACCATGCCTTTAGAACCCAAAGTAGCTCTAATAATGCCACTTCCGAGTGCTGCCCTTTTCTGTACTGTTAATATTCCTGTGAGATGAGGGTTAATCTTACCCCTCAACAGGGAAAACTCTGACAGAACTACTAGTAGTTTCTTGCTTTCTTCACCTGCAGCATGAAGTATAACTGGTAAGGTCTGAAATTCATTAAATTAAACTTTCTTTTTGCTCATGGTATTGTGCAGTGGCCAGTGTCCTCAAATACTCTATTAATAGTTCAGCATGGCACACTGAGACTTACACCTTAAAATGGAAAGGTGCCAAGGTAAAAGCTTAAATAACTATTGCAGTGACTGTGCTACAGTCATCCTTTCCCTTCTGCCAAATTCAGTGCATCAGCCACCGTCCAGAGCAGCACAGATGTGTTGTGAAGCAGGTGAATCCTGAATTGTAAACGGAAAGCATACAAACTCTGCTACTGAATCTCTCCTGAGTTTTATCTGAGGAAAACAACATCCTTTGTTTTCTACCCAAAACCAATGTTTGGGGAAAGAGATTTACCAGATTGAATTTCTGAAGCACCTTCTTAAAGCTACTGCTTTAAGGCCGCTGGCTTGGAAGGTCATGCGAATTACCTGTCAGAGCAAATCTCTGGCAAAACTTGTCCTTGAGGAAACATGACAATTAAGATCAAACCATCTGTGCAGAACTATATATAGTTTTGTTTCTGACATGTATGAGATTTTAGTCTGACTTCTCTGCAAAAATGAGACTAGCTTATGTGGAACTTAACATTTGACTGTAAACAAAACTGCTTGTGCTGGATTAGGATGTTCTTTCAAATGTTTCATCCCGAGATGGGTGCTTGGTGAGCCTGGGCTTAGGAATGAAGGCTGTGGAATAAGACACAGGGTGTTTGCATTTCTGAATGAGCTTAGGAGTGTCTGGGCTCACAGATGTTGCTGTCCCTCCTGTTGTAGCATACCAATTTCTTTAATAACAGAAGTAAACTGAGTGTGCAAAGAGAGAGTTTGGTGCTTACCAGTGTTCTCTGCCTCCTGGGCTTTCCTATGTCTGTGACCTGTGCTGCTCTGAAGCACTTGCTAGGCTTGCTGGTACTGAGGTCCTTTTGGCAGAAGGGGGTGCAGATGAAAATGAACTTGGTGCTGAACTTGGCTGAGTGCTAGTATGTTTATGCCTTGTATGCTGGTCTGACAGCAATCCAGCATCCTTCAGATACTGAAGCACTTCTTTGCACAGCATTGTTTTGATAATTGCAGTTTAATTGCCTGTTGGAGTTGGGTTGACTTCCCCCTGCAGCCTTTCAAAATGATCTCCTGCAGTTGCTGTGTAGCAGTCTGCCTTCAGACACAGAGAAGATGTGGCACTAAATTGTGAGGGTAAAAGGTTGCTATCTGCAGTAATGGTCCAAACATGGGCTCTGCTTCTCAAAAACGGGATTGAGCATGGTAACAAATTGAATGACAGTAGCTAACATAGCATTTGCTGTTTTACAGTTAGCTGCCTTATTAAAAGGTTACTTCCCTTTAAATGCGATTTGAATAAAAGTTCTAAATGAGTGCCCAAGGTCAGTGGCTCCAGTTGTGCTGTTCAGAAATAGTAGGCAGTTAAGGGAGGCTCCTATCACATGGCTGCTGCTAGCTTTCAGTATGCTTGCTTCTCCTGCTGCATCCCCACAAACAGAGCGTGCTTGAACTCTGCATGCTGCTGCATTTACTGCTTGCTGGAGATCTGCTGTGATGATGTCATTGTTGCTGTTACTGCTGCTCCTGTGAGACTGCTTCTCCTTCCTGGTGCCAGAGCCAGCACTCCATGCATGAGAAAGCTGTGTCAACACTGCTGTTGCTAACTCATGCTCGGTCAGTGACGGAGGGGAACAAGCTTGTCTGGGCCACAGAAGTGTGTTGATTTACAGCTGATCTCAAATAGCCTTGACGTCTCTCGCTGGGAAGCCTGTTCTGAGGGCACGACTGTTCTCACAGGGCAGAGCGGCTTCAGGAAAGGTGCACTGCACTTGAGATGGATTGCAGTGTAAACTTGTGCCAAGGATCCTATTTGTGCAGTTTGAAAGCACTTGAGGTAGTGAGTGATTTGCCCTCCTGCCCATCCAGAACTATCACCTGAAGCTGATGTTTCATAATCTAACTGTGCTTGCTTGAGTTTTAAGCAGAAATTCCTAAAATAAATGGATAGATCTTTATGTAGCTACTCAAGGAAAACTCCTGGAGCCTGTACTAGCTCACTGCATGTTGCAGCTTTGATCACCTGGCAGACTAGCTGGACTAGTTAAGCAGTGGGTGAAAGTGAAGGCAGATAGCTGGAGCTTGCCTTTGGAGGCTTCCTGGCTGTGGAGTACTGGACTTTGATTGGTGGGACTGCCAGTCTTATCTAATGAGTCCTTACCAAACACTGGGTCTCTCCTTGCTGGAAAGCAGCTTGAATGGTAGCCTGCTTGGTGTTCATCTCTTCCAAGTGGGCTGAGTCACTTGGCTCTGTAGGTTTCTCCTCAACTTGACTCCTGGATACTGCTAATGTATCTGAACTGCAATCTGGCACTGTGGTAATATTGGCTTGAGCGTGAGTGGTGAGACAGCTGCAACAAAGGCATCCCTAGCCCTGATCTTCCCTCTGGCAAGAAGATGTAGCTTACCAGTGCTGTCTTATGAATAATATGCAAGTCACTTCAGTGAAACTGTTCTAGTCCTTTGCAGAGAATAAGAGAATAACTGAGCTGGTAAATGTTGCAGGAGCTGTGCAAGGGGGAGTAAGGGGCAAAGTATGAGTTTGAAACAATCTCCACTGTAGGAATTCCTTGTTAGATGTTGACTCAGCTGTCATGGTGTTTCCCTCCCATCCTGGGACTGTAATACTTGTCCTTCCTGCTCAGCAAACTGCGGTGGCATAGTAAGAGGTATTGAGTATGAGTAGGATCAGGACTTCTGCTCACAGACCTAGGTGTAGTTCTTAGATTGCAGTGTATCTCTGGAAGAAGTCACCTGTCTTTGAGCAGACTTATTCTCAAGAATAAGACTTCCTGAAATAAGAGGAAGGATGTTGCTGTTAATGCTGGTTTTGTAGTTCTTCACATTTGCATGTATGGGATTGGATCTCCCATCAGTATTTGCCCTGTCCCACTTACTAGGATCCTGGTGCTAAAGCAGAACAGCTGAGGTGCATCGTCTTGCAGCCATTTCTCATGCCATTGTTTGTGACTTGAGTGCCTGAACCTTTGTTGAAGCCTTCTCAGTTACTTGTTTCCTGCCCAGCCTCTAGGAACTGGGAAAACTATAGCAGCCAGGAGTAGATAAAATAAGGCTTGAGTACCAGTGGCAAGGTCTAAGATCTGTGTTTTGCTTACCCCTCCAAAGGTTATCTAACACCTCCTGTCTGTGTTTCTAA